AAGCTGAAAATTAATTATTTATGCAAATTAGGTAATTAATATGTACTGATATTACCCTAAAAACTATCAGGTATGTGCAGTGTCATATGACACCTATGTACCAAGTTTTATTGAAATGTTATGATTAGTACTTGAGATATCAGTGGAAAAGCCGAAAATTGATTAATCATTATGCAAATTAGGTAATTAATAATATTAACAGATTTTTACCCAAAACTAATCAAATCTGCGCATTAGTTCAGAGCATCCATGTGCCAAGTTTCATTGAAATCCAATGAGTGGTTCTTCAAAAATCAGTGGAACAGTCATAGAACAGCTTAAAATCAGTTAATTATCATGCAAATTAGGTAATTAATATTCATAGATTTTTACCCAAAACTAATTAAATCTGCGCACTAGTTCAGAGCATCCATGTGCCAAATTTCATCAAAATCCAATGAGTGGTTCTTCAGATATCAGTGGAACAGTCTTGGAACAGCTAAAAATCAGCTAATTATCATGCAAATTAGGTAATTAATATTCATAGATTTTTACCAAAACCTAATCAACTCTGCGCATTATCCCAGAGCATCTATGTACCAAGTTTCACCAAAATTTGATACAGACATACATACATACAGACATACAGGGTAACTGCAAAGACTCCCTTTTGTGCTTCGCACACGGGAGTCAAAAATCATCATACCAGTAACCAAGCATCAGCTTCTTGATCCATATCTCTGACATGTTTATGTTCCAACTATATTTCTACAAATATATAATAAACAAAACTATATTTCTTAAATTTGATAACTAACAGCCATGCATGGCTTGTTCTACCTCTGTTTTTGATGTGTTAAACTTTTTTCACCTTAAATGACAACAATTTGAAATTTGTTAGCGTAAATTATTGAGAAATCCTTAATTCATAGTAAATTTGTCGAACTTGAAAGTACTAAAATGTGTGACCTCTTGGGGTAACATGCAAAGTAACAGGAATATATGCAATTTTTAGCTTATGTGCGTTTCTATTAGAGATGCACTTCTAATGTAAATGTAAAGCAGGCATCAGAATCAGCCTGAGAATCAAATATAAGCTTATAATGGCGTTCCTGTTCGACATGGGACTCATAGCAACGTACACAATGCGTGTAAAATACATTGTTTTTTTACATGAAATTCGAAAACACGCTGCACGACGACCACAGTACTTCTCCAATTCATTTTGTATCCCTTGAATCAATCTAATTAAATTTTGGGTTTACCCTATCAAATGGCAATTTACTGTGCTATCCTGGCGTCAACCAGGCTCTGTCAAACACAAGCACCTGTGGACCTTAATCAAGGTTTCCCCAAAGTCGCATTCGTTAGTGAATGAATCTCGGACAGTGGCACACTCACCCAGGGTAGAGGTTGACCCTTTTGATGTTCAGCCTATGGTAGGATTTGAACTTCGGTCTACCGATCATGAGTATGACGCAACAACCACTATGCTACCAGTGATTGGTTTACTATTTTTATTTATTTTTTTTCAATTAAATTAAATATTTGTAATCATTTATAAATTTTGGTAATTTTAATAACTCACAAAATATACAGATAGTGAAAATTAATTAAAATGTGTGGTTTAAAAAAAAATCTGCATTAGAAGCTGCAGCATCTATGAAAATGGTCCAATGCAACAGAGAGTATGTGGCTGCTATTAGAGCATCTACACATATGAGAAATTGTGATTTTTTGGTTCTCAATTCAAAAATAATGGGTGCAGCTTCTAATAAGGATTTCACAGCAATACACAAGATTTTAAACTGGTTGCTCAGGTGTATAATGCTGAGAATTTTCACGCAGCATAATGGGCATCGTTTGAATCTCGCGGTTTGTAGCTGCCGACTTATTGCTCACTCCACCAACATGTGTGGGATCAGCGTGGGTAAATTATGTTAAAAAAATGGCCATCTTTGATTGGACACTCCTGTTAGAACGGCCAAATCAGACGCTCTGTAACATTGTGCAGTAAGCTAAAGAATAAAATGTTGGAAATGGCGACATGTAGCATGGTTACTTCAAAATTCCATAACCGTGCATCTTTTTTTCAGCTAGTAACGCCTCAATTGCATGGTTTTGGTGATCGGTTCGGCTTTTTATGATCTTGGAAAAACTGCATGATCTGTTCTGCTTGGGTCGTCATTTAAAAAAAAACACTCTACTTGCTGATTGGCTGTTCATTTTTGTCGCATCTCCCCACCTTGTTGTTAAGGTCGCCTATTAAATACATACTGTAGTTGTTCAATCTGCCAAGGGTTAGTTTGGAAGGGTGACCCGAAACAAATGTTCCTTGGCTGGCGAAGATGCATAATTTGATAACATTTTGAAAGGGAGGTTGAATCTGAGGCTGGCATTTTAAGTGAGGTTAGCTTCATGCTCGTGCTTTTAATGGAGTAATGAAAATATGATACGACTGTAAATGGTCGTTATAAAAAGAATTCAACTATGACAAAGTCTGTTTTGCCAACTTTTACGTAATTTTTCTAATACTTCTGGATTTTACTGTAAAATGACTAATTTTCACTGGGTTTAAATTTCACTAATTTACCATTTCAGGCATATTCAGTAGGTTTTAAATTCATGGTTTTATCATTTAGATGTGTTCTATGCTAAATTTTACATATTCACTGGGTTTTAATTCAGCGCATTTTCCAGTCAGCAAAATAAGCAAAATTAAAACCCAGTGAATAAGTAATTCTTTTACATTATGGTAACAAATTTACTATGGCGCTTAATGGGTTATATATATGAATGTTTCTACATGCACTGTATAAAAATACCATTATTTTTTAAATATAAATATTCAATGTCTAGGTTAACTCAAATGTCTTTGCAAACTATGTATGTAGTGTATGCATGCAGTACATTTTGTTTATCAAGGATTTATAAGAAGAGGATATATACAACTTGTGTATTGTATGCAATGAAGATGAATTGAAAGATCTATGCAAAAACTGCTTGGTGTCCTGCTTATTCACAAAGTTTTTACGAGATGCATTTTGAATTCGGCAATAACCTTGTTCATTTCTATTTATGGATTCAAGCCTTTCCAAGCATCTACTGCATTCTGGGATGCAGTTGGTTGGATTGTCGAGCAAAATTGAATCTTTTCGGCATACTGTAAAGGGGGTAATTATTCACTGGGTTTTAATTTAGCTTATTTGGCTGACTGGAAAAATGCGCTAAATTAAAACACAGTGAATATGTAATATTTAGCATAGAACACATTATCCAAATAACGAAACCGTGAATTTAAAACCCACTGAATATGCCTGAAATGGTAAATCAGTGAAATTTAAACCCAGTGAAAATTAGTCATTTTACAGTATTACAGTTCCATATCCTTGCTTTATAAATCCTTAATTTATTTACATGTATGTGTAGTTTTTTATCCTAACAGCAATTTAAACTATTTTGTAAGTTTGCCTGTAAATATCTACCAGGCTTTTAAAACTGGTTACTTATGTAAATAGTGTGCCTGACCACTTGTACAACTATCAATTTTCAACAGAAATCACTACATTATAACTGTGGGTGAAAAGCTTAATTAAAGCGAGGGTGTCGTCACCTGCACATGTGCAGGAATTGAGTCC